GATAACTGTACGTTTTAGTCAGTACAAAATATGGATTATATAACACACAAATATATGTATAAAGTACATTCTTCAAAATAATATTGTATAATTTTTATCTTAAGCTAGTTTTAAATTAATGCAGTTACATATTGCAATGGAATTACTTTCAGCTTATACTGTCGTAACAGAAAGAAGAATTAAGTACTGTTTTCAGTATTTCTCCATGATCGCCATATGAAGTACATGGGCCTTGTTACACATTTACAGTAATTCTCATGATCTGCCACGAAACATAATTTAAGAAAGAATCAAAACAAAATTGTTTCTTAGAAATTTTACTACTCTGAAATAGTTGTTCTTCTCACAGTGCTTTTGTGTGATTTTCTCAGGAGATTGATTCTTTCATCCAGATAAGAGATGACATTGTTACTCTGTATTATATACACTTAACCTAAGCTGCTTTACTTTTACAGGATTCCAGTGAGAAAATATAATTCAGGTTCCCAACATAATCCATGGTATTGTATACTCAAAGCCAATTTAAGGGACAACTGTTAAAAACAAACAGTTTTGTGTATATAGCAATGCTGATTAAGAGTATCCAAGAATTAACTATTAGCAAGAAGTGTGTTGATAATGAATGTAGCAAAGCTTACTTAAACGTTTAAAACTGGCCTGACTTGTCACTCTTCTAAATACTCCCACCAGAATCATCTCTAATTCCCTGACTGGTATTCCAGCCCCCTTCCCCCTAGATATATTCAGTTACTACAGTGGACTGTGATCTTTGCTCGTGACCTTCAGTGATTACCACACCATCATGAGATACTTGGCACAATGGAAAACAATCAGTTGTCACCGTTACAATAGTTTGACAGCTGCGATATCCTGTCCTGATTTCTTTCATCCTGATACCTTGGCAGATCCACCCTCAATTTTCTCACCTGACATTTCATGGCTTACACTAAGACTTTATCTTTCACTTCTTGGCTGAACATCTTGACTGTAGGGCTACTGAATTAATCTGTAATAATCATTTCTCCTGTTACAGCTAATCTACTGTTCTATCAATAATAACAAATAACAAGGGAGGAAGACTACTCTTTAACTCATTGAGTACAACAATAACGTTATTCATGAAAGGCCAAGATTCAAATTATTCAGGACCTAATGCATGTCTACACAAAGAGGAAAAGATTTCACAGTAGAGGTTTGCAACAAAAATATCTTGATGATTAAGGTATTTATCTGTATTGTACAGAACAACTAAAGCCTCAGGTTTGAGCCATCCCTAAGGTAAGGGCCTGAGCTATGGTTTCTCAAATCCCGAGGAAAATCTTAACCAACTTAACTATTCTGTGGAGGAACGGTTTCTTGAATGATTCCTCAAAAAAAGAAAATCTTGACGCACTACTTATAACCAGAGTATAGTAAGGTTAAAGAGGCCTATTAATTATTTTGGATGTACTCTAATCAATCACTGGTAAAAATAATCGCAACATAAAAGAGAATCCTACAAAAAAATGAAAAACACATCATAGTCTATTTCTGATTCATTAAACTTCTGAGAGCACATATATATCAGCTGAAATCTAAGGACCTCCATTCCCATAGAAACAAGTAAGGCACAGATTTTCACCAGCTGACTGTGTATGTTTTGCAGGGCTGACGCAAGGTGGAACAGGCCTTTATATATTACAAGCTTTGCTAACGTTTTATAATGAAACCTTGGTCTGAGTTCTTGGCTGAGCGGCGTGCCCAGGCTTGAGGAGGAATCACAACGCGATCCCTCGAGAAGCCAAAGCATTCTTCTCATCGCTCTCCACTGACTAGGTAAGTCATTTGTGCTTCTGCAGTTCTGGTTTAGGTACTTTAGTGTAATGGCTCAATTTCAATAGGAAGAAACAAGATCCCAGAGTCCCTGTTATGCTTAACCTGACACACAGTGAATTCCAGAAATGCAGTCCAGACTATCAAAGTCACAGAAGGATTACAGAAAATATTTTATGGCAGATGCTCCTGGAACAATTAAGAATATAAGAAAAGAATATCTGCTTTCAAATCTCCAAAGTAGCCTTTTAATAAAAACATAGTTAACTAAAAGGGGAACCATTCTTCAGCTAATGAGGTGACTGGTGCTTACAAACCAAATGGTAACAAAATGCTTTATTGAGAATTCCCCTAACAATAGCATTGGGTTGCTTGGGAAGGCTGTGTTTTTTAAGGGATAATAAACCTGACATTTTTATATAAAACTTTAAAATTTATTTTTGGTGATTTTTGGACAAACGTACTTCAACACTTAATTGAGCACAACATGTTTTAATTAGCTATTGAGCACGAAATACTTTAATCTGCAAAAATGTGTCACCTTCATAGAAGCTATAGAGGATAGTTTGTATATGATTAGATTGTGGTGTAAACTGTTCTCTGAGACTCGTATCCACCTTTATTTGCTATGATGATCAGATGTGCTTTCTTCAAATAGATTTTGGAACTGCTGCAGAAAGCTAATTGGGCTACTCAGTTTTCAGAAGGATATTTCATAAAGTGGTTTTCACACAACTAAGATGCAAATCGATGGATACCTTTTTATTTTGACTATATGCAGATGAGAGGAATTTGGCTGATTATTAAGAAAAAAGTTCAAACAAATTTCATATGCAGTCCAATTATGGGTCATCAGATACATACATACATACCTCTATATATATATAGATAGATAGATAGATAGATAGATAGATAGATAGATAGGTATGTATATGTATAAAAAACAAACTAAAAATACTTAGGAAAGCTTTGTTGTTCTTGTGTTACCTACTGTGGCCATTGAAAGCTGTTGGCTCTTCCGGGATTAGAACTGAAGTCCTTTTCTCCAAAAGTACAAATGTTTGCATCTTCGTAGGACATCATAGAACCTACATTCATTATTAGCCTATAGGCCACAATTAGACAGCCAAGATTATTTCCAAATAAGAGTATTATTTTCTAAAACTAGTGTAATTTTAACATTAAGATGCCAGAGTGGCTAACACTTGCAGGGATTTCCATGTGAGTACGCATTTTCTGAGAAGGATTGTACTTTTTAATCACAGCTTCAGATTACAAGTCAATTTTTAAGGCACGTTAGACTTCTGTTAATGCAATTCACATTTCCTGCTAAAAAATCTTGCCTTTTAAGTTTCTCCAGTTTGGTCTCCATCCCGATATCCATGCTGGTTAATAGAGGTCAAAGTCAAACTGTCAGTCTTTTAAAACATGACTGTACATTTGTAAAGAGAATTAATTCCTCTAGCATTTTCTCTCCTTCAATCAAATCTGGAGCAATTTATTAGGAAGTAAAAATAACTTTCCCCTCTCCCACACCTTCCAAAAAAGAAAATCAAGGTAAAATATTTGTTTACTATGCTTTTGTATAATCAGTTTTCAAGTTACTGATGTAGAGCCTTTGGTGTTCAGTTTGGGGGGATGGACGTACTCACTATTTTTTTTTTTTTGTGGCAATAAAATTCAAGATGAAATAACAAATTATGAAATGAAACAGTAACTGGAATCTAGTTCTTCTCCTTGACTCCTTGCATATAAAGAAACTAGTCATTTGTTTACAAAATCAGGCTCCCTTCCTCTGTTCCTCCTTGATCCAGCTAGTATCAGTCATGTAAGGACCAAAAGACTATAAGGTCTATAAAATGATGCACTAGAAAGTGAACACATCTACATGCCTACACACTGACTACAGTCTGGCAGTTTTTGCACTCTTCCTGGGTAACAGCTCAGATTTCCTCAGGCAGGAGCTAAAACTAGGTCTATATTCTCCCACATCCCGGCTGAGCATCCTGCCTGTGGAGTGGCTGGATAAAGGGTGGCACAGGGGAGACGGCGGGAGTTTTGCTGGCAATCTTCTCAAGAAAACAGGAGTTTATGTACTTTTTTTTCTTTTTCCTGTTTAAGGAGATGTTTAGACATTATTGAAGACATTATTAGCATTATTGAAGACAATGTGATTCCTCTAGCTTTCCATTTTTTTTTAAGCTTCAACAGTTGACAGAAAAAATGTAAAGCATCATAACTCACTGACAAACATTTATTTTATTTCTTGAACTCTGCTGTCAAATGTTGTATAAAGGTCAATTAAGTTATTACAGATCACAGAAAATACACAAGAGGTGATTGCCCTAGGGAGGTGTGCTGGAACACTGTTCATACACACTTCATAAATTAGGAAACTTCAAAGCACAGACTCTCAAATATCTCTATACATATATTTTCTAAGCTAGAAAGGGAGAGTGTTGGTATACCCAGAGGTAATAAAAATATGCAAATGGAATAAATAAATTCAGAAGAGTATCTTGTATCTGTCAATACATTTAGTTATTTCAAAAATGAAGCTGAAACCAGGTAATGAACATGAAAGCTACTTTTAAATGTAAAAGGATTTATGCTAATGAACGTACTGGGATCAAGGAACTATTTATAATAAATGTAGTATGTTGCAGCCAGCTACTGACTACGTAGAATAAACATATGATGAATATGCAGAGAAGGAATCTCAGGAAGATTAAATATGAAAATCTACCTACTTTCCTATATAATCTAGCTTAATTTCACAAGATACCCTTTCTGTCCCTCCTCTGCCAAATGAAAAAGTTTTAAAAACAATATGCCAATACTTTGCAGAGAGAAACATCAAGGAAAGGACAAGCAGAAATGCTTTTTCTTAAAAAGAT